AAATAAAACATAATAAAATAATTCTCACGACGTTTCGGCCACAACGCAAGCAGCCATCCTCAGGTGAAGAACAGGTCTGTCAGAAAGACAGCGTCACAGTAATAATATGGGGTCGCCTTCATCCAGCAGTGGAAATCCATGGTTGATGATGATTATTATAATACGAGGATTAAGGAGGCATGTTTGTTTACCGCCACAAGTCAATAGTCACTGGCTAGTCAATGGAATGGAATGTTAATTGTATACATGTAGTAAGTTACATTGCTACTCCTAAATCAGACCACAGCCAATAGCTTTCACATCAATGTCCTCTAAAGGGAATATCAATCTTGCAAGTGCTCTTTGACATGCACATATTAAAATCCACGGAACTCTTCGCAGTGTTTGAATACTGACCACCGGTGTAATTCCCCCCTCCCCCCCCCAACAATTATATTTTAAGTGCTCTTCACATCATGTAAGGAGACGAAGAAAAGTCTGTTCAAAACTCTGCAGCTGTCAGTGCATCACTCTGTTTCAGAGAATGAACTTGAGGAAATTACATCACGTAATTCTTAATTCACTACAATCGGCCTCTGCAATCCCATACTGGAGGCACACTTTGTACATGCCCTGCAAAAAAAGCGTTTGTCGCAAGCCAAAAAACAAGATGTGGGAGCTTTAGAGCTGAAATAAGCCACATTATATTTGAAAGACCTAAATTAATCGTGGGTATTTTTTGGTGTACAATGGAAACCTGGCTGAGACTAGCAACTCACTGCACATGAGAACTCGGTTTAACGGCAGTGTCTGGATTTGAATCCAGGCTTTCAGCTGAGTGCTCTGACTCCTGAGCCACCTAGCCACCACCAAGAATCTGCAATCTTATGGTCCTCAAAGCAAGAATACATATTCCCTTCTACTCAGTATATAGCTATGTGTAGCCACCGCTGTCTAAAAATGGGACACTCACTATTAACATTGTGAGCAATGAAATGCAAGTCGACATGGCACTGCGGTAAATGTTTTCCAGCATCGGGCTGTGTAAAATGACTTTCAAATATAAGGGAATTAATTTAACGCCAGAGTGCAGAGACAACTTGGGGCATACAGGATTTTAGTAGTGAACAAAACAAGGCATGAAAGACAGGGTTAATGTTAATTTTATTTAGAGCCATCAATCATTCTATTATCTGCATTTGCCACACCTGACAATTTCCTAAAAAGTCCAGACTGGCTCATTATACCAATTAAAGAAGCCTCTAATTCATCACTTGGCACGCTCCATGTTTAGAGGTCTTTAAATAAAAAAATATATAAAAGGGCTATTTTCTATTATTTATGTATTGCCTTCCCCCCCCCCCCCCCCCCCGATTGTGTTCACGGTGTCATGCAACCCTTCGTGTTGGAGAATGGCCCATGGAAGTGGATTTCAAAGAACCACGACTTAACTGCTCTTCCACACAGTAGAGGACAGCGCCTTCCTGCCTCCCCCCTTAATTCGGGGAGTGGTGGCATCCTTATTGTGCACCGGGCTATGAACACGAATTTGACCGACCGAAGTTTGATTCCCGATCATTAGTGGCGAGCGATCTCTAAACTGGTCCTGCTGCCCCCCTCTCCACTGGCCAGCCCTCCGCACACTCATACTGCATAATGGTCCAAGTCACGTGACACACAACCAGATGCGCGTTTGAACGCAAGATGACTCATAAGTGAGAGAATATGGCCCGTGGAGGGAGTTGAGGACTGGAGATGAAACGGCGCTAATTTAGCCATGCCTGCTGTTCTACTTAAAATGTACACCCACACTTTTTAGCACCATCAAGTGAACTGTTAATAGCTTTTTAAAAAAAGAATTGTAATGATGACTTCAACAGGCGCTTGTTACTCAATTGTACCACGTGTAAGTGTGGTACAGGGAATATTCCCCCTTGCGGCGAATAATGCAGCATATTGCTTTGTATTTTCATGGGCAGCCAAATATATTTCACAAACTATACCCCTGATTTTTTCAGTTGTATGTTAAGTATTGTATTTGTTTGTTGTGCGGATATTATAATTCCCCAGCTTTATAAAGTCCACATCAAAGTCCACAAGCCTAGTGAGTACTGGTCATTTATGACAGTTACGGGTGGAGTGGTGGCACAGTGAATGACACAATGTGTCATGAACCCGGCGACCTCGGTTTGATTTCTGGCCATGGCTAACTTCAGTGGCAGGTGATATCTGAACCGGTGTGGTGAAGTATGATCAGATTCTCCCATGACTGAACAGGAGGCTCTTCATTCAGTAGGGCTGAACATTAGAATTATTTTATTTATCAAGGATTAACAAACATGAAATCTCATATCACATAGCGTCTTATCTATACACGTTTATATTATCATTCTGATATAAATCAGTCTATACTGTTCGGGGAATGTCTTTTAGAAGAATAAGTCAGAATACAGAACGCGTCCGAGAAGACGTCTCACTGAGCAAATGGAGCAATTCAGTTGGCGGTGGTGCAGGTGCTGGGTGAAGTGATGCACCACCAGATTGTGGAATGTTGAGGTGGTTTGTGTAGGCCTTCATCCAACAGTCGATCAATCATGGCTGCTGCTGATGATGATGATAGCGATGATATGTGAAGGGGAGCAATCATGTGACACCATGTGTGAAAGTTAGGTTTTTTTTATTCCTGCCCAAGCAGTCGTTCCTTGATAGACAATGAAATGACCATGGAGAATGAACTAATGGTATGTTAAGGGCATTGAATATGGTGCATTGAAAAAAGCCACGTTAAATTATACTGGGGGTCGTAACTCAGCATGTGCTGCAAAGTGGCACAGATGACAGAGAGCTCCAAAAAGAAGATTGCTGCTACTACTACATCACAAAGGCATGGCAACGAGAGTGTAAAACATCGGCTGGAGTGATGACAGAGTGTCCCTGAACTCCTGACATTCTGACACGCAGACGGCACCATATATACGCTAAGCTCGATGCAGTCACCCACAGCGGAAGATGCATCACAAATTAATAGCGCATCCTCTGCATTGTAAGACACTCCGCAAAGCAAGATGAACCCCAAACTTGTGCCCGGTGTCAATAACGTTAAACAAATCTGGCCGCTCAAAGACAAAGACACACGCTTGCCGGATTATAGGACACACACCCCAACTTTTGCTTTAAAATACAAGGGGGGTGGGGGGGAAGAATGGTTTCTTATAATGTGGAGAATGGTGGAGATTTTTCTTGATTAAATATTTTATTTCATCATGGGACCTCCTTTGCCAGTACCAAAATATGAGAATAGGTTTTCCCCTTTTTTTCTGGCAACAAAACAGGTGTTAAGATGTTAATACACCAAATTGAAACATTTTACAAGGAATCATGTCTAAATTAACCACAATACTTGTGGTCAGAATGCAAACAAAAAACATACTCTGATAATATATGCATTGTCTTTGAAACTGATTGGTCCACACCAGAGACAGCTTTCTTTGGAGCCTAGTCTCAAAGATATTTGAGTATTAAATCGGTTAGGAGTATTGGGGCGACTGCGAGCGACTGGCCAGTGGTCACACTGCACCGCCGCAAGTTGCCCCAGATCGCACCCCCCCTCCGCCCCATATGCAACACAGACAATATCAGTAACATTCGAAAGTATTTGGGCAAATTATTAAAAAAAATCACACAAAAGTCTAAAATTGTTTTAATTTCTGCCGATTTGTATGTAAACAAAAAATAATTGGAAAGGATACGCAAAGGACATCACCACATGCCCAGAACCAGTCAGGAAAAAATAATCTCCCACGACTACACCACGGGCTTGTGGTGGGCAGTTCACAACAATACACCGTTGCACTCTACTTCTATGTGCCCATAAAATGTATGACTGGCACTAACCAGTGATGGTGAAGTATGCCTTGAAAATGAAGCAAGTTAATTATCACGTTTCTTGGAGACCTAGTGTATGGTGCACTTAAAGGATACAATTTAAGCACCACAATTCGATACATAATTTGCGTTATTTGATGTTTATTCTTCGTAGGCACATAGAAATAACTAAAACGTATTAATTATCCCCTGCACATGGATGGGTCCTACTCTCTACGGCTGAGACAGATGTCTAAGGGAAAAAGAGGAAGACCCCAATCTGAGCGAATGTCTAACATTAGAAATTAGACAGGATGGAAGCTGTCTCAGATAAAAGACGCAGCGACGGACAGAGATAATTCGAGAGGCCGCTGCACAGCAGCCCAAAAGACCAAGGGCATTGAAAAAAATATTAATATTATTTCACATTTCTTTTTACCCAGCTAAGCCTCACTAAGTGAGGAAGCCCTGCTAAGTTTTCAGAACAGGAGACGATAAGGCAATGTGTTTTCCAAACTGAGTAATTTTAAAAGTGTTTTCTTCTTCTTAGAAATTTGTGGCATGGATTGGTGGATCACACGAATTCGGGAAGCTCTCTACCCGTGTGCATCAAGGTCAACATCTCCTGGCCTTCCATGGTTAAACAGGAACAGCAAGTGTTTTCATTTCCGTTCGGAGATGTGGTGTTACCCCCTCCCACGTGCGAACTGTCCATGGCTACTTTGGTTTCTTCCCACATGTAGAAATGCACGTGTAAATGAAGTGTGCCAAACATCCAAATCTTGGACTACAGAGCTTGACAAATTGTTGGAGATGTGAGTGTTACTCTCCTCACGTATGTAAACACTCATGAAACAAGCACTGCGATTTTATTATTATTATATTATTTTATTTTTATTAATTTTTATTTTATTTTTTACCTACGTGACTTTACTGAAAGAACTAAGAGTAAGGACTGCAGAGCATGGGCAAGTTGTTGGCACCTGTTGTCTGCCTTGGCGCTTGTCTGTGGTTTCCCACGCCTGCAAATAATCTCATCTCCCTCTCTCTCTCTCTGAGAACGAACAAAGACTGCGCGCGTCATAACCGCCCTGAGTTAGTACAGAGCACGCGTGAAATTAATGCAGGAGGTAGGGAAATTGTACGCGGGCACTCACGATGTAGAGCTCGATAAAGTCTCCGAGTGTGGCGGCGCTGTCCACGCGCACCAGCAGGGCGTCCTTGAGGTGCGTGCTGAAGCCCACGGCCAGGCGGTCAGCGCGTGTGCTGGGCCTGTCGTTGGGCCGCCATGTGTACGTGATGAGTCCGCCGCCCTTGCTGAAGATGTACGTTGTTCCCGCTGTGAAGACAAAACCAGAGCGCTCATCGTTATCGTCATGGTCGTCGTTTTCTAACGACGCGGGGCACTTGCGCCTCCTGTTATTGCGGTTGGCTACGTGCGGCGCGAAAGAAGTTCAACATATATAGGAACATTTCACAAAGGATTAAAATTGTTATTATCAATTTGAAGTGAACATTTTTAGAATGTTGCAACCAATGTGTGCTGCTTTCCAATATCATATTGTGCGTGTGTTTACCACTGCTTTCAAATGCCTATGAATGAGATTCAAATAACATTTTTTTATATTCTTTGGGTCTTTCGGTAAAGTCATGTAGAACAAAAAAAAAATGATCCTGATGACGATTGCTTGTGTTGCGATCGAAGCGTTGTAGTTTTTTGTAAAATATTTTTTTGTTCTACTTTACTGAAAGACCCAAAGAATATGAACTCCTGTACACACGAAAGCTTCAAGCTAATTTATTTATTTATTTGCAACCTTTGTCAATCCACTGCTGGATGAAGGCTTTCTCACACCATGTCAGCCATGGACGTTGTTTGAACATACCTCACCACGCTGATCAGTGCGAATTGGTGATATCATCCGCCACTGATAATATCTGGGTTCATACAAAGCAGTGTGTTAACCACTGCACCACGGTCCACTAGAATTGTATACATGGACTTTATTTTAATGATTAACATTAATAGTAGGTGTGGCATTAGCGTACCCACAGACACTGCGTTTTAGGGAGTTCATCTAAGGGGCGTGTATGTGGGGTAATCCCTCTAATGAGGAAATGTGTAAATATATATTCTTTCAGAACAGCCCTCAACCTAACCATCTTTAATTGATTTTAATATCTGCTTAACTAACCGCAACATAATATCCCATCTTGGCAATGCCCTTTAAAAGTCCTCATCACGATCGTTATGTTCATTTGCTGAAGTACATTTTGCGACGTGCATTGTTTCCATCAAAGTGCATCACCCACGCGGATTGCCTGTTTTTGTTCCGAAAACGACAAACAACAAAAACAACAACTTCGAGTCTGAACTTTAATAAAACAAACTTTTTTGCACACTCTGCCCTTCATCAAACAACTACGTAGCAGTCGGTTCTTTTAGTTTAAAGTGGTGAAACTGATCATAGTTTGTTTATCTTTCATTATTTATTTCCCAAAGGTCTCTTTTTCTCTGCACACATAAATCCTCCCTTTATCATTTTTTGTTATCCCCCAGGGGGCCAACTTATATATTCGGTCACGTGGACAGCACACGGGGCTGCTGCCGTGGAGTAACGCTTTGCTTCACTGGATTTGCAACTGAGATTTTGCCAGTTCGATTCTATCTCCAGGCACTGCAGTTGAAACAGTATGGGTACATCGCAGTTCGCTGATCGGCAGGTAACGTGTGGTGGGGTGTAATGTGGGTACTCTCACTTCTTACAAGATGTCTAAATGGCGTAGAAGAGTAGTACAAAACACCCTCCGATGGACATCATTGGGCCAGCGGCGGTATGAGCAAGTAATTGCAGGCCTGTACCTGCATTACTTTGTATATAGCCATACATACCCCGTACCGTATATGTTTGCGTACGGTGTGGAGCGGTGACAGAGTGGTTATCGTGCTGTGCTCTGAATCCTGCGACCCGTGTTCGATTCCTGTTCATGGCCAACACCAATGACGATTATTTTAACTGGTCGTCCCCCCTAGGTCGACTCAGCCTCAAATGAGTAGCTGGTGTGGTCACACAAATGCGGCCGGGGCATGGTGTTGGCAACCCAACACCTTGTGTGCCGTGCAGGCTTTCATCGCTGCTCGCTAACAGCCCCAAAACCCTGTTACGGCCACACATGGGATTCTTGTATGTGTGTGTTTACGCGTCGATCCACATTTGCGTCTCCGCCAATGCCCGTGCTCGTGTGAAACAATTTGACTCCACCAGGATGACTGCAGGTAGAATTCTCGATCAAAGATCCAACTCCCACAAATGTCCCCACAATGTTCCCAGGCTGGGTGTGCAGGATTTCACCTCATCCGGTTTACACGACACGGCGTCTAAAAGCGTCCGCATCTCACGACGCGGTTGCATTTATAAACTCGGTGGTGCACGTGCCTAATAAGTGTAAACAATGATTGGTGGCAGGCAAGTGTTATGGTGTCCCCAACAGTCTAACTCGCCAGACATTAATTCAACAAAGACAAACATAACCTCTCCCCCCATAGCCTTAGACCAGACTATTGGGGCAAGTGCTGTCAAGGGGCTAGGTGACCGACACCACGCCCGACTGCCTTTGTCTCCGCAGTGTTGATGTTGACGTACTGCTCCAGCACTGATTTGTACATACTACGGGAGGCCCCAGGACTTCTTCAAATATTCGCCACTGTTATTGATCGTGAGCAGGAATTCAACTCCCAGTTGCTGGGTTCATAGTGCAACGCGCTCACTACTAGAATACCCCCTTGCCCACCCTACTCCACTCACGTGACACTCACCTAACACCAATCAGCATTCAAACTTCATCAAGCACAGACCAGCTATGTTTACCAAACATATCCCACGCACCTACAAGAGTCCGTAGCAGGTTTTGCCTTCGAGTAAATTATAGGCAGCACGAGGACAAGCAACACATTTATAAAGCAGACAGGGCACCACGCGCTGCGATTTGTATGCGGTCAGTTGTCTTTACCTAGGTCAAAGGTCATAAGTTGTGCATAGGCCAATAAAAAAACAATCCCTGGATATTTATGGTCAGAATGAGCACTCATGGGACTGCTGATGATAATAATATTTCAAGTGAATGCTTCGACAGACAACCTATGCTCTGGACGGATCCAAAAATCCAGGTAAAAGCTCATATCTGCTACCTCCTCTGATGGTCCTCCACTTACCTCAACCGGCCCCTCTCATTCCCATCCCCTGGCCCCTCTCCTCACCGCCCTAGCCCCTCTCGTTGTTCTTCGCCCTGCCTGTCTCTAGTGCCATACATCGCATGGGTCATGGGTTTTGTTGACCTCGCGTAAAGGTCATGGGTCATACACAGCTCGTCTTCAATTCCGTGCGTACGGCCATTTTTCATTCCGGTGGAATGAGGCCTCGCCGGAGCCGGCAATATGAAAATTACTCAAGCTAATGCCGTGAATGATAGACTGACAGACTGACAAATTAGTTGTTTATATAGAGTGAAACCTCAATCTAACGTTCCTAAGGGGACCATAAAAATTGAGCGTTAGATCTGGGAAAACATTGGATCAGGGAATACTATTTCCTGCCATAAAAAAGCACGTACTGTATTTAATGCTCTCTCTCTTTCTCTTTGTCTGATTCCCCATCCTTCCCACCTCCTCTTTGATGGAGTATATATTTCAGGTTCCAAGCTTCTCTCACTGGATACAGTCACATTTGCAAATGTCATTTGTAATTTTGATCCTCACCTGTGTACCAATAGTTTAATGGTAATGTGACATTTTCTTGAGGCACTGCTGTGCGTTATCTTGGTGTGATCTGGGACTGATTTGTTGTTGTTTGTGCTGCCTTGCCTAACTTTGACAAATCGGACTTACAAAAATGTATTTATTATACAATTATATGTAGTGACTTTGCTTACCTTTATCTATATTTTGCACTCCTATCGTTAGTTTTGTATCGTTTGCTGTTATAATTTGCTGACCCCACCCATATATTTGCGATAAAGAGCTTCATAGCTAAACGGATTCCTCCTGAAGTCGAAATAAAGATTCTGATGACGATGTCTCGCATGCCGCACTCTCTCTCTGCTTTCTCTCACTGTGCATCTCCTGGCCCAGGGTTCTCTATCTCTCTCCTTCTCTCACTCCATACACCACGTGCCTCTCTCACTCCATACACCACGTGCCTCTCTCACTCCATACACCACGTGCCTCTCTCACTCCACACATCGACTCTCACTTGGCCCGGAACTCACTACCCATGCGTCAATGCGACTGCATCATTTCGGCCGCATCATCATTGAGCACCCAGGCCGTGTGAAGACACTAGGGGACAGGCTCAGCCCAGGGGATGTGGGCATAGGAGAGACGTGCAGGCACAGCATTGACATACATGGAGTATTACAACAGAGGTTGGGAACGACCAGGAAAAAAACGATGAGACTGATAGAGTGGAAGAGGCACTCGAACAAAAAAACGATGTAGAAACATCAGCAATAGATGGGCTATGATAACAAACAGTGGAGGGCTTGCCGCCAGAAATAAATGGACCCAGCGGCCTCCGTAAAGGAGCTCAACTGGAAGAAGTTCGTGGCGAGAGCACCGGGGGGCATAACACGACGATGCTTCTGATGAGAAAAAAACCCACCGTGCATCGCCACCGACTGCTTACGACGAGGAATCAAGCACGCAGCTCTTGCCACGACGTCGGGGCACACAGTGGCCGTTAGGAAACATTCGCAATATACGGAATTACTCGTACAAAACGTATTCTCCATGCGTTGTCAAGCACCAGTAGACAAATTGCTGCCCACCTCTGTAAACAACTACAACACCGGCAGAGTTAGCACCGCTGCTGCCTCGGGCACTTAGCAGTTCAAACCATGCGGTAATTGGCACAAAGCCAATGGGCAATGCCGATAAAAAAAAAATCCTCTTGATCGAATGATGAGCTCATGCCAAACTTGCGTATCCAGTAACGCTGACAATGTACATACGTGGCCGAAACTTTTTGCTGCCTGTTGGCAAATTTTAGACTCCTAGGCAATTTTAAGTGGCGGGCATATTATTACCATTAAACTAGTTCACTCAGGAAAGCTTCACCGAATCCCAAACGATTTATGAGGAGGGTCCTTCCGAGTTTGTGCACAAGGTGGAGATGCTGCTGCTGCTGCTGCTGATGCGCAATAGCCAATCGAGTCATTGTCAGGTAATTTTTTGTTTGCATTTAGGATGCATGGGCAATGGCAGTTATATTATGTTTCTGTTGTTGTTTTAGCTATGGCAGAAAATCTATGCAGAACAGGGGAAGGACATCCGAGTAGGGAATC